GGAAGCTGAACTCTTTTGTTCTCAATTTAAAGGGATATGGCGGTCGGGTCTTCGTCACTTACAAACAAATCGGGTGACTTATTTAGGTGACTTAAGCAGTGTGTGATAAAACTGAAAAAATTGAAAGTTGAAAGTTGAATGCTGAATTTGTGGACTGTTTGATATTCACTGAAATTTAAGTACTGAACTGAACTAAACAGTTTGATAACTACACAGAGCTAACGTCTGAAAATAAATTAACTTTCAGTTTTATCCTTCCACTCTTTAATTTAAAAATATTTATAAAATATGTCATAACATAAATCATAATCACTATTATCATATTGTAGTTTACAAATCTTTTATCAAAATAAATAAATAAATAATTTTTAAATAACACAATAAGTGAACAATAACAAATTGAATAATATAATAAGCGAACAATGACATATGATAAAAAAAGAACAATAACTAGTAAATAATCAAATAATATTAAAAAAATACAATAAATTAAATTTCATTAATAATATGTGTGTGCGTCGTGTATGTGTGTGTGCAGTGCATATATTTGTGTGTAATTGTGTGTGTGCAGTGCGTGTGTTTGTGTGTAATTGTGTGTGTGTGTGTGTGCAGTGCATATGTTTGTGTGTGTGCAGTGCATGTGTTTGTATATGTAATTATAATTATATATGTATATTTTTGTTACAAAAGACAAGAAAAACAAAAAAAGATCGGTAAGGAGAATATATAGGTTAGAGGTTTTGAAGAGAAGACTAATTAGAGTTTTAATAGGATTATAAAATATTTCGGGGTATAATTGTCATATTATAAATATTATTAAAGATGATTTTACTGAGCGCTTTCAGCTTTCAGAATTAAGTAAGAGATTTCCTACTTAATATTGTAACCTATTTTTAAGGAACACTTAATATATTAAGAGAGTTTAAATTTTGGTTATCAAACGAGCTTAATTAATAAATGTTAAATACATTCATTTTAAGTGCTGAATTTGGGTTAACAAACACACTCATAGTGGCACTTAGAATCCAGACAAAATCCGCCCAAATTGTATGTGTTCGCCCTTGGTCTATGCAAATCAAGGGCCCAGCTAACACAGCGTAGGGAATTTTACAGAATTTTCTATATTCAACAACATTATGATCCAATTAGGTCAATTACGTTTCAAGCAATCCAAATTATGACTCAATGGGTTTGAGCTAGGATCGATCCGAAAAGTTTATAATGATCTTGAGACTTTTATTATAGATTTAATATTTGAAAAGTGATCGATAATATATTTAGGTCATTGAGTCGTAACTTAATGTTATAGGGTTATAATTAATGTAAAAAATTTCTGAATACAATAATGCCAAGTCAATTTTTAAATTTGTGACATATTACCAAAGATGATGGAGTCAAGGCTCTTGTTTTGCAGGTATTCATAGACCAATATCCTTTCTTCTCCATGAACGCAATATCCTAACAACCGGACAAGATTCCTGTGTTGTATATTCATTAATACTTTAACTTCATTGAAGAACTCTTCGATTCCGTGAATAGAACCGCTTGCAAGCTTCTTCACTGCTATTTCTTCACCATTAGGCATTGTTCCCTGGGTATGAGCTTTCGTAAGTCATCAATTGGTGCAACAAAAAAGCTATTTTCCTATTCACACTTGTAAGTAATTTGTGTTTTTTTCCATTTTCACATTCAAAAGCTTCCTATAGAATTAGGTCCTCCTTATTTGTAGAATTTTCCAATTATATTGGATGTGATAGGATTTTCAATCTCGTCATTTTTGTATCGTGTCACTNTTCATTTTAAGTGCTGAATTTGGGTTAACAAACACACTCATAGTGGCACTTAGAATCCAGACAAAATCCGCCCAAATTGTATGTGTTCGCCCTTGGTCTATGCAAATCAAGGGCCCAGCTAACACAGCGTAGGGAATTTTACAGAATTTTCTATATTCAACAACATTATGATCCAATTAGGTCAATTACGTTTCAAGCAATCCAAATTATGACTCAATGGGTTTGAGCTAGGATCGATCCGAAAAGTTTATAATGATCTTGAGACTTTTATTATAGATTTAATATTTGAAAAGTGATCGATAATATATTTAGGTCATTGAGTCGTAACTTAATGTTATAGGGTTATAATTAATGTAAAAAATTTCTGAATACAATAATGCCAAGTCAATTTTTAAATTTGTGACATATTACCAAAGATGATGGAGTCAAGGCTCTTGTTTTGCAGGTATTCATAGACCAATATCCTTTCTTCTCCATGAACGCAATATCCTAACAACCGGACAAGATTCCTGTGTTGTATATTCATTAATACTTTAACTTCATTGAAGAACTCTTCGATTCCGTGAATAGAACCGCTTGCAAGCTTCTTCACTGCTATTTCTTCACCATTAGGCATTGTTCCCTGGGTATGAGCTTTCGTAAGTCATCAATTGGTGCAACAAAAAAGCTATTTTCCTATTCACACTTGTAAGTAATTTGTGTTTTTTTCCATTTTCACATTCAAAAGCTTCCTATAGAATTAGGTCCTCCTTATTTGTAGAATTTTCCAATTATATTGGATGTGATAGGATTTTCAATCTCGTCATTTTTGTATCGTGTCACTTTCAGTACGTGTCATATTAATGTCAATATTTGTGTTAATAAAAAATTATTTAAATCTGTATTTTAAAAAATTATAAAATATTTATTTTTTTCTACAGTACTAGTTAAATACCTATTATTTCTGTTAATAAAAAATTATTTAAACCTGCAACAACACATATAATATTATTTTTAAAAAATATAAATATTTACTTTTTTCTATAGTACTCGTTAAATACTTATTTTTTATCTACAATACTCATTAATCATGTTATTCGTGTCTAACATTAATTTAAATTATTTATTAATCGTGTCATTTTCGAGTTTTGTGTCGTATCAGATTTGTGTTAATAGGTAAACTTGTCACTCCTAGATGTAGACCTACTCATGCCATAATACCGAGAGGAATGGAGCAAACATTAACAAAAACAATACGAGGAAAACCTATTTTAAAAGTAAAAATAAATAAATAAATATATATATATATATATATATTTTAAGGTTACCAAATGATTCTATGTTGATATCCAATTGAAGCTTCAAATCCTATTGTGAACATAAATTGCAAAAATAAAATGTATATTTGGGTTTAACCCAAATTGAAATTTTGACCTTCGGGGAATCAAAATTTGATGTTTTCAATCATCAACATAATAAATTAAATTGTGTCAGGCAAAAAAAAGATCAAAATTACCTTGTAAACGATACCAAATCCTCCCCTACCCAGCCGATTAGATGTAGAAAAATTATCGGTTGCAACAACCAGCTGATGTAAATCATACATAAACTTTCTCATCCCTACTCCTCCTCTCTTCAACTCCTCAGCTTCTTCAATTTCATTGCCACGGCTTTTGGGGTCCATTCTCATCCCTCTCTTCCTTGCCTTCATAACAAGAATCCCAACCGCCAGAATAACTGTCGTAACCACCCCAACGGAAACTTTGATCTTCAATCCCTTGCCTCTACCACCTCGAGTACTATTAACTGTTAGGGTTGCAGGTGGTGGCGCCATTAACATAAAACTGCTGACAAACGGGGCATTAGGCCAGTCCTGGTGCACTGGATCCACATTGAATTGGACATTACAGCTGGGAGTCAAGATCCAACAAAACCATTTTGACAAACAACTTAACTTCATCGCGTCTATTGCGGTCAGAACACATTTTGTGCAACCTGTGTTGTCAAGATCACGAGTGCAATCAACATAGCCATAAAGCATCAAGTTGTGTGTTATATTGGTTCTCCCCACTGAATATTTCTTCTCTGCTACAGCAGCTTGTGATGATAGAGTTTGGACTAATAATAGGGCACTTTCTTTAAAAGAATCTGGATCAGGACCGAGGCGCCAGTCACCGAAATTGACGATGACCGAATCATCTACCTTGTTTAGGAATTTCTTGCCAGAATACCTGATAGTGCAGTTGTCAAACCAAACTTGGGCTGCTGTTTGATTTGGACATGCAGCTTGAATACCCGACAAGGCATCGGTGATACAGTTTTGGCAGCCTGATGGGGCTAAGCCACCGCGACAAAGAGCGAGCGCAGTCACTGATTCTCCAGTTAAGTTGCCTGTGGTGGTGGCATTATAACCGGTTAAGGCGGTGTACTTACTGAGATTGTCGAGTGCTTGGAAGAGGTTGGTGGAGAAGATCGAATTCGTTGTGTAGTTATTGGTAGAACCGCAATTCTGAAAGCGAAGGTCACTGGTAGAGAATGCTATGTGGGGATAAAAGAAGAGAGAAGAAATGAAAGCATGAAGTAGCATTGTGGTGCAATAGTTTAGAGCAAGAAGGTGATAGAGATGCTGTTATAAGCACCTGAAAGAAGGAAAATGTCAAGTTTGATGACTTCGATTACCTTGTGTGATCACCTGATTCTTAGTTTTATTAATCAATTCGTCTACCTTTATGGTCACTTTAATTTGCAGTTTTATAAATAATTAAAGTATTCCAACCACGCTCAATAAAATAACTACTCAAAATATTTTTAAATATTGTATTCTCTACTGTGGCTATCCACTTTTTAAAATTCACTACAATCACGCTCTTTATTTTAACTAACTATAACTAACTTTCAATAATAAAATTCAAAAAATAACAATTCAATTATACATTGTATAAATTTAATCAATTATGGGCTACAAGAATAAATATCATTAAAGATATGCTACAAGAGTAAATATCATAAAATACTTGGGGGGTTTTGCTGAATTTTTAAATTTTTTTAGGGGATTTTGCTGATTTTTTGGAGAAATTTTACTGGATTTTGAGGGGGAAATTTGCTAGATTTTTATCAATTCATCGTCTTCCCCCATTCTGATCAACAATACAAAAATTACAAATTAATCCAATCAGGCAAGACCCATCAAGTAAACCACGAAACCCAACAAATCAAAAATCACAATTCTTAATGGGAGTCTGTTGAACTGAGAAGATCCATTTCTTTTTGAGAAATCAAGTTGTTCACAGAGGAATCTGGAGGTTTGGATGTTGCGTGAGGGGTTTTAGGGGAATCTGGAGGTAGAGATGGGAAGAGGAAGAGTAAAGTAAGAGACAGGAAGAAGAGGAGGAAAGAAAGTGAGGTTGAGAAAAAGGGACGCTCCACCAACGAAGAGAGTCTGAGAGTGCAGGGAGACTCTGAGAAAGACGAGTGAGAGCTCTGATGAATACGAGAATCCCAAAATTGGAGCAAAACTTTGATGAAGACGACCCAAAATTGGGAGGAGAGAGCTCTGATAAGAGAGAGAGTCTTGCTAGCCAGAATTGATGAGTGAAAATAGGGGGAGGCAGATTAGCAACTGAAATAGAGAGTCGGTTGGAGACAAATTTTTTGAATTGGTTCAACAAAATAGCTAAAAGATGCCCTTTGTTGAGTTGGTTAGAGTTGCTCTTAGAAGTCTTTTACTTTACCTTTTTTTGGGTAAAAATAAGAATTTAGGGTTAATTGTGTGGGAGGTCCTCAAAGAATGATATTTGTCTTATTTTTGTCCTTAATATTTCAATTACATCATTTTAGTCCCTGAAGTATTGAATATGTTTCTATATAAATATGGTCATTCAAGTAGATAGCATTCAGATTTCTAATAATTTTGTATCATAAACTTATCATGTGATATTTAAATATGGATAAAAAAATAATATAGAGTACTTTTGACCAAATTTCTACTCAAATTTTGATTAAATAACTATCCAAATTATATAATTTTGTTTATGAATTATTATAATTTTAGTCAAAAGTTACTTATACGACGAACACAATAAAAAAATAAATATATATAGTTGAAAGAACAAATGACTGATCGAAAGACTTTATGTAGGGACGGCCATTTGGATGCAAATCAATAGCCTAATGACTGATCGAAACACTTTATGCAGGTGACGGCCATTTGGATGCAAATCAATAGCCTAGCCTGGTCGTTGGAACGTCCGCAGTGGATTGCGTGTTTTAACATTGTATGAGCAGTGACTTTGAGCTAGTCTTTTCTTGAAGACTAATGATCGATCGGTTTGGTAAAACAGAAAAATAAAAAATGTGAGGGGTATAAAATATTAAATTCGGTTAGCAAGGAAAAGTTGAGAGTGGGGATGGCAATGAATGAAAAAAAAAAAATATTCGTTCAAATCCGTTCGTTTGAACTGGAAATGGACCATACGTATTAGATGATAAACGTATATATAAATATTCGTATAAACTTGCACGGAAATGAAGGTGGGGATGGACTGACACTTATTCCAGCCACGTCCCGCCCTCCTCGGTCCCCTATTTGAATAAGAGCAATGTTATATGTACTTAAAAAGTAGACTTAAAAATTAGACTTGATAATCTCAACCATTGATTTTACTGTGGGTCTCAGCATTTATTAGAACTCACTACCTATTCAATAGTTGAGATTATCAAATATAATTTTTAAATTCATTTAACATTACTCTTTGGATAATGATCCGTAAAATCAATTTTTAATTTATTATTTTTTATCTAAAAAAAAATTATCACCACAAATCCTTTCTCTCCAGTTAGACATCACGTCTTCTAGAGCCTTCTATCCCCTTCTCTCTCCTATCTCCATCATCTTCTCACACAGCAGTTCTCTCTCTCCTCTCTCCTCTCTCCATTAGCAGCTTTCTCTCTCTTTCTCCATTATCTTTTTACACAGTACAAACATACACAAACTTTGTATAATGAAGTATTGAATATGTTTCTATATGGATATGGTCATTCAAGTAGACAGCGTTCAAATTTCTAATAACTTTGTAGCATAAACTTGTCATGTGATATTTAAATATGGACAAAAAAATAATATGGATAACTCTTAACCAAATTTTTACTCAAATTTTGGTTAAATAACTACCCAAATTACATAATTTTGTTTTTGAATTATCATAATTTTAGTCAAAAGTTACTTATATGACGAAGAGAATAAATAAATAAATAAAAATATATATATATATAATAAAACAGAAGTATATTTAAATTTTATTTCAGTCATATTTTTCTTCTCAAAATCATCACCAATCACTTACCTCACTCATCATCCCTTTGTCAGACTCAAACGTCAAATCGCATTACTTATTTTTATCATATGTTTAATATTTATATATTTATTCCCTAAAAATATCGCATCACTCAGTTTTATCATATATTTAATCATTTAATATTTGATTAATTTGTAGTTAATATATTTTAAAAAAATTTAATATAATGAGATCGATTTTTTGGACGTTCAAATTTTATATTTTATCGTGACTTCATGCACGGATTATGATTAATATATATATATATATAGTTGAAAGAACAAATGACTGATCGAAAGATTTGATGTAGGTGACGGCCATTTGGATGCAAATCAATAGCCTAATGACAGATCGAAACACTTTATGCAGGTGACGGCCATTTGGATGCAAATCAATAGCCTAGCCTGGTCGTTGGAACGTCTGCGGTGGATTGCGTGTTTTAACATTGTATGAGCAGTGACTTTGAGCTAGTCTTTTCTTGAAGACTAATGATCGATCGGTTTGGTAAAATAGAAAAATAAAAAATGTGAGGGGGATAAAATATTAAATTCGGTTAGCAAGGAAAAGTTGAGAGTAAGGATGACAATGAATCAAAAAAAAATAGATATTTATTCAAATTCGTTCGTTTGGATTAGAAATGGATCATACGTATTAGACGATAAACGTATATAGGGATACTCGTATAAACCCACACGGAAATGAAAGCGGGGATGGACTGACACTTACTCCCGCCCCGTCCCGCCCTCTCCGCCCCCCTATTTGGATAATGATTCGTAAAATTAATTTTTAATTTATCATTTTTTATCTAAAAAAAAATTATCACCACAAATCCTTTCTCTCCAGTCAGACATCATGTCTTCTGGAACCTTCTCTCCCCCTCTCTCTCCTATCTCCATCATCTTCTCACAGAGCAGTTCTCTTTCTCCTCTCTCCATTAGCAGCTTTCTCTCTCTTTCTCCATTATCTTCTCACACAGTACAAACATACACACATACAGTCATCACACACACATACATCACACAATACACACACACACACACACACATATATATAGACACACACAGATCTGTGTATATATACAGATCTGAACACAGATCTATATAAATCTGTTGCACAGAGAGAGAGAGGAGATGACACTGGAATCGACGTTGAAGCCGACACCGAATCAAACTCATATCTGAACCCAGATGTGCGTGTTGTTTCTTTTCGTTTGGTTTTCACCGGAGTGTGGAGAGAGAAAGAGAGAGAGAAAGCCCCAAAAAAAAAACAAAGAAAGGCAATAGAAAAAACTTTCTTATAGTTAGATATATTTTGTAGCTAAGAAGGTTTGAAGGAGAGACCTCATTAATGAAGAATTGGGATGTTCTTATGTCTCCCTTCGTTTATCTGCAAAACACAAAAAACAAGCCTAGCTTGTTTTCTATTTTTTGTTTTTTACATCCATCTTTTCTCAAAATTTGGAAAACAAAAACCAAAATCAAACAAGTTTCTCTTGTTTTTTAGAAATTTGAGATCAAAAAAATGTTTTCAAAATTCAAACCAAACAGGTCTGTAGTTTCCTATGTATTTTATTATATAGATATATAGATGGTATTGATGTTATAAACACTTGATAAAAGGCATAATTTTGCCTACCTTGTATGTTCACTTGGATTCTCACTTTTATAAACGTTTACATGGGTCTTACCTATGCACTTGCGAGAAAAATAGGAACTAATTAACCTTTAATGCTTATTATCTTCCTTATTTTATCCGGAAACTTACATCAATTTCCCCGAAGACAAAAAATATATATATAGAGTTGAAAGAACAAATGACTAATCGAAAGACTTTATGTAGGTGACGGCCGTTTGGATGTAAATCAATAGCCTAGCCTGGTCGTTGGAACATTGTATGAGCAGTGACTTTGAGCTAGTCTTTTCTTGAAGACTAATGATCGATCGGTTTGGTATAATAGAAAAATAAAAAATGCGAGGGGGATAGAATATTATATTCGGTTAGCAAGGAAAAGTTAAGAGTAGGGATGACAGTAGACCGAGGAGAAATGAATATTCGTTTAAACCAGCTCTGTTTGGACCCGGGATGGACCATACGTATTAGATAGTGGACGTATAAGGGATACCCGTATAAACCCGCACGGGAATGAAGGCGGGGATGGACTGACACTTATCCCC